ATGTCACCACAAATTACTTAGCCTGGAAAATGTCACTGATAAGTGAGAGAGAATAAGAGTGAAAAAGGGAAATGACATCTTAATATTATGATGAAAATAGTTTTGACCTCTAGAACCCCCAGCTCACTTTGAGAACACTGCTCTTCCAGATGTAGCTTCACTTAAGCTATCAATCATTAACGATTACTGATGAATGATTTTTATGTACATTAACAGCCTGAAGGCAGAAAGAAGTCTAAGAACCACAGATTTACAAAACAGTCTGCAAACTCATTAGCATACCTGCTCATTCATTTTGACCCAATCTGTCAATTTTATTTCCTGTTATTGTCATTCTCTTCTTCTTTTTCACTGTACTCCAACCAAGACTGAAGTCCACAAACAGAACAACTCTTTGCCTCACCATTTTAGAATACACTATTCCCTCTACCTGGAAGGCCTTCTCTCACACATCCTTTAGACCCAGTTCATAGGTCACCTCTCCCAGGAAGCCTTCCTTTGACACATTCCATTCCCAATTACATTTTCTCTGTAATTATACAGCAAATTTTACACCCTCCAGAACTTTTCACATTGCACTGTAATTATTGTTTATATATCAGCCACCTCCACTAGTCACTGAATTACATGAAAACAGACATCTTATTCATCTTTGTATTTCTAGTACCTCACACAAATGTTTGATCATTCACTTGAACTATCTCCCAAAGAGACCCCATGTGGCAGAACAAAACTGCTCCCACAGGGTTTTCTAGGCTGTAATCTTTTACAGGAAGGAGCTCTAGTGCAGTGGTTGAGGCATTTGGCTGCTAACCAGAAGGTCTGTGGTTCAAATCCACCAGCCACTCTGTGGGAGAAAAATGAAGCAGCCTGCTTCTGTAAACATTCACAGCCTTTGAAATTCTATGGGAGGTCACTATGAGTTGGAATCGACTCAGTAGTAATAATTGTGGTTTTGGTTTTGGAATCTTTATGGGAGCAGACTGTCAGGTCTTTCTCCCAAGTTGCAGCTGGATAGGTTCAAATAGCCAATCTTGTGGTTAACAGTCAAGAGTGCTTAACCGTTTTTGCCACCAGGGCTCCTATTATGAACCATTATCCAAAAATAAAAAACAAAACAAAATCTTTTGCTGTGGAGTAAATTCTTACTTAGGGAGCTGCATGTATCAAAACCACAATGAGATACCACTTCACCCCACTAGAAGGGCTATGATCAAAAAAAAAAAAAAAAGAACATGTCACATGTTAAGGATGTGGAGAAAGTGGTCATCCACTGTTGGTGAGAATGCAAAATGGTACAGCCACTGTGGAGAACAGTTTGGCAGTTCCTCAAAAAATTGAATATAGAACTACCCTATGACCCAGCAATCCAAATCCTAGATATATACCCAAAAGAACTGAAAGCAGGAATGTAAACAGAAAATTATACTCCTGTGTTCACTGCAGCACTAGTCACAACAGCCAACAGGTGCAAACAACCAAAATGTCCATCAAGAGATATAAATAGGTAAACAAAATATAGTACAATAGAATTTTACTGAGACAAAAAGAAATGATGCCACAACATGGATGAACCTTGAAACATGCTGAGTGAAATAAGTAAGGACAAATACTGTATTATTTCACTTATACCAAACAGGCAAATAGAAACCAAAGCTTATTAGTGGTTACTAGGGGTAGGGAGACAGGCTAGAAGGGGGATTTATTACATAGGGAGCACTGAGTTTATGTTAATGGTGATAGAACAATTCAGAAAAAGATAGTGAATCATGAAAAATGTAACCAATGTAACTAAATAATACATGCAAAAATTGTTGAATTGACAAATGTTTTGTTATGTATATTTTTATCATACCAAAAAAATAAAAAAAACCAAACTCACTGCTGTTGAGTAGGATCTGACCCATAGCAACCCCTCCTTGGGTTTCCAAGATGGCATCTTATCATAGTAAAAAAAAATTTAAGTCTGAAAGAAACTAGTATTGATACCTACCTACAAAATAACGGGGTTCTCTGCCATAGGACCAAGTCTAACTCTCTGCTCTGACAGTCAAGGGCCTCCACCACATGACTTCACATCAACTTTCAATCTTATTGTTTTCCAAAATGAACTTTCCATTCATTATCTAATAAAAACTCACACTCACAATATTCATTCTATTTTCATTCCATTTGTTTATACTATTACCTCCCAAAGGAATTCTACTTCCCTGCTATTCTGAATTCTATTCTTTCTTAAAAGCTTGGTTCAAGACCCACAAATTCCATGAAGCTCTCTGGGACTATGTTTTCCCTTTTTGGACATCTAATGCATATTCGGGAGCTTTAGTGGCGTAGTGCCTAAGGCATTTGACTGCTAACCAGAAGGCTGGCAGTGCAAACCCACTTCCTCAGAAGGAAGACTGGGCAATTTACTTCTATAGAGATATCGCCTCAGAAACCCAAGGAGGAGTTGCTATGAGTCGGATTTGACTCAATGGCAGTGAGAAATGCATATTCAGTATGCTTCATATAATCTAGTATTCACAGTACATTGTTTTACATTGCTTTTTAATAGTGTCATGTAAGTCAATGCTGCAATCCTAAATACCCTCACAGCTCTTCAAGAACAGGCACTCTTTACTCAAAACATATCTGAGTGACATTTTATGCACCAGGAAGGAGCTCTAGTGGCACAGTGGTTAAGGCATTCAGCTGCTAACCAAAAGGTCATGGTTTGAATCCACTAGCTGCTCCACAGGAGAAAGATGAGGCAGTCTGCTTCCATAAATATTTACAGCCTTGGAAACTTTATGGGGGAGTTCTACTTTATCCTATAGTGTCATTATGAGTCGGAATCAACTTGATGACAGTGCTTTGTATATACCAGATATGGGCAAGATTTCTAATCTTAGTTCTTTTGGATCAGTCCTTACTAGTAGTAAACTCAAACTCACTGTCATTGAGTCGATTTGGACTCACAGTGACTCCCTTTGGGTTTCTGAAGCAGTAAATCTTTATGGAAGTAGATTGCCCAGTCTTCATTCTGTGGAGTGGCTGGTGGATTTGAACTGCCAACCTTCTGGTTAGCAGTCAAATGCCTTAGGCAGTATGCCACCAGAGCTCATTCTTAGTAAAAGGAAAATAAAATCATGTAAAAAATACTATTTGCTTTGTTGTTGTTGTTATTGGCCATCAAGTCGGACCCGACTCATAGCAACACCTCCTTGGGTTTCTGAGGCAGTATCACTACAGAAGTAGATTGCCCAACCTTCCTTCCGAGGAGTGGCTGGTGGGTTTGAACCACCAACCAGCCTTCTGGTTAGCAGTCAAGTGCCTTGGCACTATGCTACCAGAGCTCCTACTCGCTTTATTAATGATAATAATCCAGATCATTTTTTTCTAGAGAACACTTTTCCTATAAATTATCAATTTGAAGAGATGCACACCCTTTCAGTGCCCCAAAACTGCAACCTTAAATAAGAAACTTCATTTAGCCATCGAGTCAGATGGGGCTCATAATGACCCCTCCTTGGGTTTCCGGACGGTTTTGCTGTGGGGGTGGATTGCCCAGTCTTCCTTCCAAAGAGTGGCTGGTGGGTTTGAACTGCCAGCCTTCTGGTTAGCGGTCAGATGCCTTGGGCACTACCCAAAATACTTGATAAAATAATAAATGTGTTTAAACCACACACAAAAAAAGAAAGAAACTTCATTTAAAGGTAACTCAATCTAAATTCTCAAGATAGTTACTGTAGAGGGGTACTTCTCTTTTTTTGCTCCCTTACCTTGAATATATATTTTGTTATTTTAGCTGTTATCATTTTAGCTCCCTAACACATTCTGATGGTTACTGAATAATCTCAAACCGTTTAAGTAGCACCAAAGAGAGGCAAGGTAAAATCATGCATAGAATGAAGACACAATCTCTAAAAACGAAGAAGTTAGGATAATTGGGTATCAACCAATGCTTTCCTTAAAATGGAATTTGTCACATCTTCCCTACACACTTCCTCTAAGTGTCCCTGCCCAAAGTAGGCAAGCATTAGTTGATAAACTGACCAAATACAACTGTCAAAATTTTTTCCATGATATCATTATGGTTACTTCTAAAGATCACTTCCCCCAGTTCTTCATTGTTTTGCATCTAAGCCAGAAAGATGAACTAACAGAGAAATTGTTGTTGTTAGGTGCCGTTCAGTCCTACCCAACTCATAACGACCTCTCCTTGGGTTGTCGAGGCAGTATCACTTCGGAAGTAGATTGCCCAACCTTTCTTCCGAAGAGTGCCTGGTGGGATATTGTTTAAAAATAATCACAGTCACAGCATTGACTTATATGATACTATTAAAGAGCAATGCAAAACAATGTACTGTAAATACTAGAGTATATGAAACACATTGAATATGCATTGTTGTTGTTGCTGTTATGTGCCGTCAAGTCGGCCCCGACTCATAGCGACCCCTCCTTGGGTTTCCGAGGCAGTATCACTACGGAAGTAGGATTGCCCAACCTTCCAATACGCATTAGATATCCAAAAAGGATATTTAGAATGTTGTAAGTCCTAACTGTAGGAGCTCTGGTAGCATAGTGCCTAAGCAAATTGACTGCTAACCAGAAGGCTGGCGGTTCAAACCCACCAACTACTCCTCAGAAGGAAGGTTGGGCAATTCTACTTCCGTAGTGATACTGCCTCGGCAACCCAAGGAGGGGTCGCTATGAGTCGGGGCCCACTCGATGGCACATAACAAGTCCTAACTGTAAGTGTAATAACCACGCAACTGAATGTTGAAGTTTTTGTTTAAACACTAGAAGACAGATCTGTAAGAACAACTGTTCCTGAAATATACCTGGAAACATTCTTTCAACAGGGGGGTCCCAGAATGAATTTCATGTAAGAGTTAAAGGGGACTTATGAATGAGGAAGGAAAGGAGGAAGCCATCAGCTGACACAGGGCAGCTCTCTCACCCAGTCCCTCCCCCTTTCCCAAAGGCTGTAGGAAGTAGAAAACTACAGAATGTACCTTCCAAGCCAGAAGCAAAACATTGAGGATAGCCAGCAAAGGGCAGGGTCCATTTTCATTCTGGGTGATGATGGGTGTGTTCTCTTCCTTCCACTGAATCCATTTGATGTGATAGACAGACTGTCCCGGGAAGCGTTCCTTGGAGGCTGCCAGCACCTGAGCGGCCTCCTCCTCCTCCTCCTCCTCGCACAGAGGGACAGCTCTGGGCAACACTGCCGCGCCCTCTTCCTCCTCCTCCTCCTCGGGAACCCTGTTCTCCGCTCCCTCTTCACTATTGAACTCTGAGCTACTGGGGAAAGAATGCAGGTTAGAGAACGACTCCAGGGAGTCCAGGCTCGGCGATTCCCCAGGAGGGCTCGGATCGCTGCAACTGCTGCTGAGGCCGCCGGCGCTGCTGGGCTCCTCGGAGCTGGCAGCTGCCAGCTCAGTCCGGCAGGTGCCGGCAGGATCCGAGCTAGGTCCCGCGTCTCCAGTAGGACCCAACCCATGTCCTGCTCCGGCCTCAGATGTCTCCGGGGAGGCGGTCACCTTGTACTGCCCTCTCGGAGGAACCTTCGCAGCTGCAGAACTCTCAAAATCGCCCTCCTGCAAGTTCAAGCTGGGGAAGGAGCCGCAGGGTCCAGGAACCTGAGATGAGGTGGCGGGAGCAGCCACGTCCGGGAGACTCCTCCCGGCGGCCGCCGCCCCCTGCCCATTCCCGGCGCTGCTCTCCGCCGCACATACCCCAGGACCATCCCCAGCAGCGAGCTTGGTCTCCCGTAGCCCTTCCTGCGGAGAACCCGTCCCCGGCGCAGGCTCAACCCCCGCTTTGTGTTCTAGCGGGTGCAAGCTCCCGGGGACGCTCTCCATACCCGGCCGCCCGCCCCTGGTTCTATCCAGACCGCGGTCGGCTCGCCTCAGCCAGCGCCTCCGACGCCATGACAGCGGCACTGGCGGCTACAGCGCCCTTGCGCGGCCTCGTCCAGGCACGTCACGGGGAAAGGGACCGGGAAACGCGCGCGCCGCCGCGCCCTCCACGGGTCCTCGGCGTGCCTCTGAGTGACTGCGCGCCGCGGCTGCCCACTCGGCCCCACCCCTCTCGCGCGCCCGCCCGCCCGAGTTCGCGCTCACGAGGCGTGGCCTGCGGGCGTGGCCAGGAGGGTGCGCCAGCGAGGCTTCAGATCTAGTAGGAAAACATCCTCTCATTATGTGGCCGGAAGTTGAACTCTGGGACAGACAGACCGCGCGCGGCTTCTTTAGAGACGCGGCCAGGGGCGGACTGCTTGGCTTTGCCTCTTCTGACCCAGGTCATGTGTGGCCAAGCCTTGGGCTCGGAAGTGGGAATGGGAGTGGTTGTAGCTTTTGGAAAAGAGCACGTTCCTGAAGGCCCAAGAGGTTTGTTTCCCCAGCTTGTAATAAGGAAAATGAGGGGATGTCTTACGGGATGCAGATTTCAAAGGATGGGTGGGACCTACTCGAGGTGTTTGGTTGACTTGCACTGGCCAAATTTCAGTCTCCCTTGATTTGGCGTGAGAAACGCTTTTGCTCCCCACCAGCTACTGGTAAAACGTTCGCCCTACAGGAAGGCCTCAGTGCGGTTGTGGATATTGGCCTGCGCAGCAAAAGAAAGTAGGTAATTTGAGCCAATAATAATAAATTAGCTTGTGCTTGAATTAGCCAAGGTTTTGCGGTTTTGTTAAGTTGGCCCCACTCTGCATGGAGTGTGAAGTGCCTACTCATGAAAAAGTCCCTCTTTTTCTCATTACAATTGATGTGTCTTAAGGCCAGGCAATTTTCAGAGGACAGAGTAAGCTGGAAGTTTTGTTGGTGACAAAAAGGATGTGGGTTTTATTCTTACCTGTTCCAGGCAAAGACTTCTTTTTTTTTTCCATTTAGTTTTTTTTCTTTCAACATTTTCTTGCTTTTGAGGATACAAAAATTAACAGGAAGGTTTTCTTTGGTAGTTGCACATGTAAATACCTGATACATAATAAAATACGTTTTTTGTATCTCTTTGTTACAGAAGTTAGAATTGCAAAGTAGTGTTTTGTTCACTCTGTAAACATATTTAACACATTTGAGTAGAGTGCATTGCTGGATACCTTGTTTGGCACTTGGGGGGGTGCCATGATAAATAAGAGAAAAGGGTCTTCATGATTACAATATAGTGATTTTCACTTATTGCTATATTTTTAGTACTTACTTAGGAAGTACAGTTTCCTGAGTATGCAGAAGATGAAGCCCTTTCCTCTTTTTACATTGACACAATATATTTATCCAACTCTTGGTGAACAGAAAAATTAGAAAAGATAATGGAAAGCTTTTTCACAGTGTTGAATTTAGGAGTTCTGTGTGGTTTCACTCTCCTTATCAGTCCAGAAATAATAAATCTTGTTGTTTAAATTAGATTTTTTTGCCTGAAAAACAGTTGTAGAACTTCAATAGATTAAGATATATGATGCTGCTTAAGTACTTTATACTTAAGGCCATTAGGTACAAATTAGAATATTACAGATTTCAGGAAAGTCAAAATTTAGCACGGTAGTTTAAATGTAAAATGATATCTGTAAAGGTATGTTAGGTGAATAGATTAGCGAATGAACCATTTATCAGCCAACTAACCATAATAGAGTCAGAAATCATGAAACACACTTCTCAAATAATGGCTATTTTTCAGCTCCTTATCCCCTATGTTTCTGAATAACATGATTACATTTTGATTTCTTCATTTAAAGATTGTGGGTACTACTTGCCCTGAGATAATCTTTAACCTTAAACCAAAAATATACCTAGAAGTCTCAAAACCAAACACAGTAGGTTAGCTGAACTAGTAAAAATGTCTGTCTTGAGCATCATACTCTTTTAAGAAACATATATATATATATATATATACACACACACACACACATATATATATATATATATGTATGTATATATATATCAAGGTGACTACAGCAACTAGAAAGATAGGAACCTTAGGAGGCAATGAGTTAATAGAGGGAGGAACAATTCAGAAAAGGAAGGTGAGAGTATGGTGGCACAACTTGAAGAATGTGATCAATGTCACTGAATTGTACTCATCAAAAGAGTTGAACTGGTATATGTTTTGTGGTGTATATGCTCAACAATAAAATAAAAATTTTAAAAAAGGATATATATGACTGCATTCCAGCCTGCCCCCCAAAAATTGTAGATACTGTGTATTGATTTATTCCTATGAAAAATAAGGATTTAACTCACTTCTCTTATACCACTCTTCCACTTCCCATAGATGGCCTTGTCTCAACCTCCCAGTTATTTCAAAATTTCTGACAATAAAATAACTCTGTTTAAAGCATTACCAAACCCACTGCCATTGAATTGATCCTGATTGATGACGACCCTATAGGACAGAGTAAAGATGCCCCACAGGATTTCCGAGGCTGTAAGTCTTTACAAAAGCAGACTGCTTCATCTTTCTCTTGTGGAGCTGCTGCTGGGTTTGAACCACCGACCTTTTGGTTAGCAGCCAAATGCTTTAACTACCATACCACCAGAGCTCCTATTTAAAGCGTTGTTGTTGTTGTTGTTAGGTGCTGACTCATAGTGACCCTATATACAACGGAATGAAATACTGCCTGGTCCTGCACCACCCTCACAATCCTTGCCATACCCAAGCCCATCGTTGCAACCACTATATCAATCCATCTTGTCAAGGGTCTTCCCCTTTTTCCTTACCCTCCACTTTACCAAGCATGATATCCTTCTCCAGGAATTGGTCCCTTCTGAAAACATAAAGTAGACGAGACGAAGTCTGGCTGTTCTTGCTTCCAAGGAGCATTCCGGCTGCACTTCTTCCAGGATAGATTTGTTCATTCTTTTGGTAGTCCGTGGTGTTTTTCAGCATTCTGGCCAACATAACAACTCAAAAGTATCAACTTTTCTTTGGTCTTCCTTATTCATTGTCCAGCTTTTGCATGCATATGAGGCAATTGAAAGTACCATGGCTTGGGTTAGGCGCATCTTAGCCTTCAAAGAGACTTCTTTGCACTTCAGCACTTTAATGAGGTCATTTGCAGCAGATTTGCCCCATGCAATATGGTGCCCAATTTCTTGACTGCTACTTCCATTGGTGTTGATTGTGGACCCACGTAATATGAAATCTTTGACAACTTCAATCATCTCTCCATTTATCATGCTGCTGCTTATTGGTCCATTTGTGAAGATTTTTGTTTTCTTTATGTTGAGGTGTAATCTGTACTTCAGACTGTAGTCTTCAATCTTCATCAGTAAGTGCTTCAAGTCATCTTCACTTTTAGCAACCAAGGTTGTGTCATTTGCATATCACAAGTTGTTAATGAGTCTTCCTCCAATTCTGATACCTAGTTCTTCATATAGTCCAGCTTCTCAGATTATTTGCCCAGCATACAGATTAAATAAGTATGTGAAAGGATACAACCCTGACACACTCCCCTCCTGATTTTAAGCCATGCAATATCCCCTTGTTCTGTTTGAACAGTAGCCTCCTGATCTATGTACAGGTTCCTCATGAGCACAGTTAAGTGTTCTGGAAGTCCCATTCTTCTCAATGTTATCCATAATTTGTTATAATCCACACAAATGCCTTAGCATAGTCAATGAAACACAAGTAAACATCTTTGTTGTATTCTTTGCTTTCAGCCAAGATCCATGTGACATCAGCAATGATATCCCTTGTTCTACATCCTCTTCTGAATCCAGCTTGCATTTCTCAAAATTTCCTGTCATATATTGGTACAACCATATTTGAATTATAAGCAAAATTTTACTTGCATGTGATATTAATGATATTGTTTGATAACTTACACATTCTGTGGGATCACCTTTCTTTGAAATGGGTACAAATTTGGATCTCTTCTAGTCAGTGGGCCAGGTAGCTGTCTTCCACATTTCTTGGCATAGACGAGCAAGTACCTCCAGCACAGCATCCATTTGTTGAAACATTTCAATGGGTATCCCGTCAATTCCTGG